TGCAGGAATTCACTGGCTGGCTTCTGATATGTCCCCTCCAGCTCACCAATCCACTTGCTGAGATGGGAAATCTGCGCAGAGAGTTTCCTGACAGTATCAGTCTGGAGCCTCCCAATCTCCTCATCCAGCTTCTCCAGCTGGGCCAGCAGTTGTTGCTCTTGTTCTTCCAGGAACTGCCGCAGCTGCTGAAACTCGGCCACAATCTTCTGTTTCTCTGCTTGGGTCCATTTCTGCATTAAAACAGGGAAAGGATCGGTCAGGGGCATGGATGGAGTCTGGGGCCCTTTCACGGGGAACTGAGTGCGCAGCAGGGAGAATTTATTGGAAAAGCCTACAATTTATGACATTTGACTCTACTCTGCGAGTATTAGGCAGAGGCGTGTCTCCCAACATCTCCTTTGGCCCGTGTCCCTCTGAAAGGGATGTTCCCATGTCTGTCCTTGGCAGCATGTTCTGTTATTCATGGGCACTGGGAATTCAGACAGGAGGCAGGACTCAGCATCAACCTGACAGATACCCAGGGAGGAAAAAGAAGCAAACATGTTAATACACTTGGGCTATGTCTACACTCACGGCATCTTGCGCCAGGGTTCTTGTGCAAGAAGTCTTGCGCAAGAAAACGTCCACACTGCCATGTGCGAGCTGTGCTTTTGCGCAAGAGCACCCATGGCAGCATAGACGCTCTTTTGTGCAAGAAAGCTCAAATGGCCATTTTGGCCAAAGGGCTTTCTTGTGTAAGAAATCACTGCTGAGCATCCACACCGCCCTCTTGCACAAGAGTTCTTGCGCAAGAGGGCTTATACCTGATAAAAAAAAAGCATAGCTCTTGTGCAAGAAGCCCTCTCTTACCATGCTGTACTGTAAATTTCCTTGTGCAAGAGCAGGCGGGCAGTGTGGACGCGCTGTGGATTCTTGTACAAGAATGGCTGTATTTGCGCAAGAAGCACGAGTGTAGACATAGCCAATGTGAGCAGACCCAGCAGACAGCCCCTCACGAGGACATTCAGCTCCCTTGTGGAGGATTTCTGAGAACGTCACAGGACATTAACTCATGCACTGACATGGAAGCTCAGGGCCTGTCTACACATGGATATAACCCAGCAATCCATGATCCAGGAGAAACACAAACAAGCCCAAGCTCACCAAGGCCACACAGGACTCTGCCTCCAAACACAGCCCTCCAGCTGCCAGTCCCTGCCAGTCCACAGGCACCTACCAAATACTCCTGGCTTTTCCCTTCTGCTGTTTTCCTTCCCAGCAGCTTTTCTCTCTCTTCTCTCAGAGTCTTCAAACAGGCCTCCAATTTTTCCTGAAGAAACAGAAATAAGCACCAGGACAAACCCTAGGATACGCGAGGAACCCATTTGTCTGCCTTTAAGAGAGTCCCAGTTTTGTGGAGTTCTGTCCTTGCCTATATGGCAGGGACTCAGCCCTGGACATGGCTTTGTCCATTAAAAAAAAAGAGACAGGAGAAGACTAGGGAAGCAGTAGGACGCCTAGGAGGGTGAGGGACAGCTCGTTGGTGGTACCTTCATAAAGAATGATGCAGGTGGGGATTAGGGAGATAAAAAAGGATTAAAAATACTAATCATGTAACCAATTAAAATTTTATCAGTGACAGTATTTTTTAAACTGAGGGCCCGAGATCTCTCATGAGGTCGTCCAGCCGATGGGAACTCCCAACAGCTGCAGACTGACGTTAGCTGCCAGAGGCAAGCGGGCACTGCCAGGGCAGTGGGAAGTTTAACTGGTAACTGGCACCCATAAGGATTAGTTCATCAGTTAACCAGATAGAACTCTCACTACAATTCAGATGAATCCTAGTTGTGCCTGGCATGGACCTGTGCTTCCTGAAGCCCTGCTATGAGTGGACTGAATGTACTTGCGATTCCACACAGCATCCAGCCCAGCAACCTCATCTAGGGCCAGCTGCTGCATCATATTTTAACCCCTCATGGAGGAGCCCAGGAGTTCAGCAGCCCAGTTGGAAACCTCCTCTCCCTGCTGGGCCTAGGGCTTTAGAGGCATTTTTCCCTCCTAAGGACCACATTTCACCACTGTTCAGCGATGCTGAAGGGCAGGGAGCAGTGTAGCCTACCAGTTAGGACCTTGGACCAGGGTTCGGGGCTAAACTCTATCACTGACTTGCTTACTGACTATGAGCAACTTGCTGCTCCACCCTCCCTTCCCACAGTTTGTCTAACTAGATTGTGACCTGATCAGGGCAGGGACTTTCCCTTGCTGGTTGTTGTGCAGGGCCCAGATGCCATTGCAGGTCTTTAAGGCAAATGCCAGATTATTACTCCTGTTTCTCCAAGCAGTAATAGTGTGTAACCTCTTCTTCACTCTCAAAGCAGCTCATTGACAGAGTGGCCTGTAGCTCCTGTGATCTAAACCTCTCTGATTGTTAACACCTTCCGTTGTGCAAACACCCCTCCTGTCACCAGTGCGGGCTGGGTCTCAGGATTCAGAACCTGAGAGAAACATTTCCTACATCAGGTATTTGTAAAGACTTGATGTAAGTTGCCACAAAGCCAGAGCATGTACTTTTTACAGCATCACTTGTACCATGAAGGCTTCACAGAGCTGTGTCACACCTGTACCCGGTAACAGTCAGTGAAATTAGCCTGTAATTAAAACCTAATGTTATTTCCCATCACACTGGACAGCCACTCTGTACCTTGTACTCCTGGGCAGCTTCCTGTAAGGGCACCACCATGTGAGCCTGGGACACCACAGAGATGGGAGCTTGATCCTCTTCACAGAACAGCTTCAGAGCCTCCTGGTGCTCCCCGCACACCCCGTCCCATCTTGCTCTCTTTGCTGACTGGAAACTCAGCAGCTTGGCTAGTTCCACCACTTTTACCAGCTGCAGATTAGGCCGAAGAGGTTCCTGCTGCTCAGTGTCTCTGCCC